ACCCATCCATCTGTTGATGAGCACTTAAAAATTGTTCCCATCTTTCAGCCACCGTGAATAACTCCAGTGATCATTACTGTACATGTGCCTTTGAATACCTACTTTGAGTATATTCCCAGGAGTGGAATCGATAGGTCATATATCGTTGTTCAGCTTTTTAAGACACTTCCAAACTGTTTCAACAGCATCTGTTTGCGATTCCTCCCAGCACTGCACGAACGTTCTGATTTCTCCACATCCATGCCAACACTTGTTTTCAGTCTTGTTTTGATCACAGCCATTCCTGTTGGGTGTGATGTGGTTTTGCATCGTGGTTTTGATTTGCAGTTCCCTTATGACTAAATACGTTCAGCATCTCTTCTCGGACTTGTTGGTTACTTGTATATCTTCTTTGGTAAGATGTCTTCTCATGCTGTTTGCACATCCTTTAATTGGATTATTAACCTTTATTCTGAGTTTTAAGACTGCCTCTTAAAATCTGGACTTCAAACCCTTACCCAATGTTTGGTTTTTATCTTTTTTCAGTGTACAAGTCTTTCAGCTTCCTGGCTAAATTTATATCAATGTATTTTCTAGATATTATTGAAAATGTAATTGTTTTCTTGATTTCCTTTACATATTGATTATTGGTGGTATATAGAAACAAGTGAATTTTGTGTGTAGATCTTTTTTTTCTTGTTCAGTTTCTCTGGTTAGAACTTCCAATACAATATTGAATGGCAGTGGTGAAAGAAAGCATCCTTGGTTTATTCCCAGCCTCGGGAAAACTTTCGGCCTGTCACCATTGAGTTTGATGGTGGTGGTAGGTTTTTCATAAATGCCTTTTGTCATGTTGAAGAATTCCCCTCCTGCTCATCGTTCGCTGGGGATTTTAATTGTGAAAGAGTGTTGCTCTTTATCAAGTGCCTTTTCAGTGTCAACTGGGATTTTTGTGTCTTCTTCCTTTATTTTAGTTCTGTGCTCTATTGTACCTCATGCACAGGTATTAACCATACCTGCCAGGGGAACTTCCTTGTTACTGTGATCCTGAACATGTTTCAGTGGAGCTTTCAGACCAAAGCAGGCTAAGGAAGGCAGGCCTGGTGACTGATGCCTATCAGTCAATACAAAACCTATGGATCACTCTAGTTCAATCTACAGCTGACCATGGAGAAAGCGAAGGACCAGGTAACCTTTTGTTCTTTGCATGGGCTTACCAGGTGTCAGGCTGACACAGCAGCTAACAATAACAATGTTTTCAAGGCTCTCCCATATTGTAGTGTGTACATCATATAGCTTTATGTGGAATAAATACCATCGTATGAACATAGACCACATGTTGTTTATCCATTCATCTGCTGATGGACACGTGGGTAGTTTCCACTTTTTGACTATTGTGAATAAGGCTACACTGAGTCTTGGTGTACAAGGATCTGAGCCCAGAGGTGTACCTGGCATTTTCTCAGATCTTTCTCCCTCCCCAGTATACTGGGCATTTGTGTATTTTGCTAAATCCCCAACATAATGGGCACTTTGAGTGCCTGAGTTTTGCAAAGAAATTTTCCTTTTCTTGATTCAGTGTTTGCGTGATTGCTGAGAACTTTACACTGCTTATCAGATTTCTGACCAGGTCAGTGGGCAAAGTTAGTTCTGGCAGAGTTCCTTCTGACAGGGTTCGTTTCTTTTTGATGTTCTAGGATGGGAGAGCATAGCTTCTTATGCCACCTAATCAGTGACGTCATTCCCCCCCATGAGAGCTTCCTAAGATAATAAGAAAGTTAACGGATTTTGATCGGGGTGGTTTATGTGGCCATATACATTTGTCTAGTGCAGTGGTTCTCAACCTTCCTAATGCTGCAACCCTTGAATACAGTTCCTCATGTTGTGGTGACCCCCCCCCAACCATAAAATTATTTGCGTTGCTACTTCATAACTAATTTTTCCACTGTTATAAATCGGGCAACCCCTGTGAAAGGGTCATTTGGAAGGGTTCACGACCCACAGGTTGAGGACCACTGGTCTAGTGCCTCAAATTACTAATTTAAAATTCTTCCTCAATAAAGCTGATAGACGTCGCATCAGCTGGACGTCAACCTATGGTGACTTGCCTGCTGCTGTGATGCTGGAAGCTGTGCCACTGGCGTTTCAAATACCAGGAAGGTCACCCCTGTCGAACAGGTGTCAGATGAGCTTCCAGATGAAGAAGAGACTAGGAGGAAGGAATGGTGACCCCCACACTGCAGACCTTATGGATAGTTGCAGGGCGTGGCTGACATGGTGCCCGAGCATCGCGAGCCCGCAGACTGGAGGCACTCGGAATATGGCTGGGGAGGAGCTGCCTCCGACATTGACGAAGTGGGTGGAGGACAGCTTTTGGAACCTCCGCGTGCTGATGGGGCCCAGCCGAAAATGTGACGAGACTGCTGTAGACATCCATAGATACTCCAAAGGTGCCATGTACAAAGTATAAGTGTATGAAAATTAGAAGTAAAAAATGGAACACAGAAAGCTCAATATCCAAAGCATCTCATCTCTCTGCTTAGGATCCTTACTTCAGTTAAAAGGATTTTGGTGGATTCATTGTTTTTATTTTATTTGGGGAGGTGGTGGAGGAATACTGTCCCTGGTGATTTCTTTACTTTCTTTCCATCACCCAGTGATTCAGTGGTTCTCAACCTGTGGGTTGAAAGACCCTTTTACAGGGGTCGCCTGATTCATAACAGTAGCAAAATGACAGTGATGAAGTAACAACGAAAAAATTTTATTGTTGGGGGGGGGGGTCACCACAACATGAACTGTATTAAAGGGTCACGGCATTAGGAAGGTTGAGACCAACTGCTTATTTTACGTTTTAGTTCATCAGCTGTCTACTTTGATGTTTTCCTTGGTACTCATGATAATGTCTATCATTACCTGCCCTTAGAATAAAGATGACATCCTTACTTCTCCCTCCTAACCTTACTCTGTCTATATTCAATTGATTGTTTATATGGTTGCTAAATTGATATAATAGTAAACATGTTAGACATGTTAAATTTGAAATGCTTAGAAATAAGATTTTTGGAGCTCAGGAGATAAATGGGTACTAGAGATGTAGATGGATGAACTGTTGATATGTCATCACTTCCCAAACTCACTTGGCCTACTGCCCTCTTGTCAGAAAAAAGAAATGAAGAAAATAGTGCCCCTGACGATTAAAAACATTTGTACTGTAACCTATAATCCAGGATGAAGAGTAGGCATCTGCTTTTGCAGCCCCCTGGATCTTTCCAGCACCTTCTGGAGTGTAGTTATCTCCTACTCTGGGAAACACCAATACACCATACGTGTGAGTTGTTAGGATCATTGGGGAGACTGGAGTGGGTGAATGGTAGTATGAAAGAACTTAGAGGATTAGGCAGAGCAAATGAAGTAGGCAAAGAGACTAAGGAGATACAATCTAAGAAATTGGAGGCGAAAAAAGAGTGTCCACAGGCAAGGTAGGAGAGAGGTGCCAGGAAAGCACTTTTCATCGTCACAGGCAGCCACAGGGCACACACGATGAGGATGGGCGAAAGACAAATACCTGTGGGTTCTAGCATCAGAAGGTGAATGATTGTCATTGCCAGAATGGTTCCCGTGGAGTGAGAAAGAGGCACAGTGGCAGCAAACGCATGGACAAGTTGCCTGACCTGCCAATGCTCCCCCTCCTCAGTACATCCCACTTTCCCTGACTGTAGAATTGATTGGTGCCCTCCTGCAGAAGGATGCTCTTCACTCACAAAATAAAGCTGTCTTCTAAGCTCTGATAGGCCCGAGGGATTGAGGCAGACACTACAGATACTAGACAGACAGAAGGCCAAGGAAAGACGCAGCATAACTGTCCTCACAGAAAACATGGTAATGGTACAAATCGTGCAAATGTAATATTAGCAAGCCTTTGTTTTGGCTATTGCACTACGAAATTTAAGAAATTTATCAACAATGGTTAAATATCCCATACATATTCTTTCTTTCGAATCTCTATTACACTTTCCACCACTGTATATTGCCGTGGGCTATATGGGGGAGAGGACAGAGAACAACTTGGTTATTAACCTGCTCGATTTTAGAATCAGAAAGCCTGATCGTTGTATCTCTGTCAACTCAGCAACTGAACAAAATAAAAGTCCCTTGCTGCATTTCAAACTCCTGTGCATGCGATGCTTTTCTCCCAAACCACAAAGCTCATGTAAGTGATGTTAATTTGAACTTACTCATGTAGCTGCCTAAAATGAAACTCTTACAAAGAAAAAGCTCAAGATTCTACTTTGGGAAAAGAGACTACAGTTGTGAAAAAAGTTCAGAAGAACTTTTTAAAACTTAACATCCATTTCTATTGTCCTTTAACAACAATCTAGGATGTATTTTTCAAAATTCACCGAGAAGAGAGTTTTGTCCTAATGCAACATTGGATTCAACTTTTTTCTAAGAAACACAAACATATATAATTATATGATTTATTTAACAGCTTAGTCTTTCTATATCCCTCATACTTTTGACATATAAGTCACAGTAAAGTAGGAAGATGTCAGAGAAACATGCTCTAAGCCAGCGGTTCTCAACCTGTGGGTTGCAACCCCTGTGGGGGTCGAACGACACTTTCACAGGGGTCACCCAATTTATAACAGTCAAAATGACAGTTATGGAGTAGCAATGAAAATAATTTTATGGTTGGGGGGGTCACCACAATATGAGGAACTGTATTAAAGGGTCACGGCATTAGGAAGGTTGAGAACCACTGCTCTAAGCTGTCTCCTTCCTACAGTCAGCTGGGTCCATGCCAGGCCATGTTGAAGACTCCCCGTGCCCTGTGCTTAGCTCTGCTGGCGACTCCTACCCAGAAAGAAGAGTGCAGCAGGCTCAGGCACAGCTGTTTAAAAATATTATTTCCCATCACAAGAGCAGGAACAAAAATGTAAAAGTATGGTACATAAATAGCTCGCTCCTTTTATACCGTTTCATACACAACTAATAAATACCGTTTCTTTTTGTCCTGGTAGGTACCAGCGATTTGAAAAGGCATTTCTCTTAGCAGTTGACATTGGTGCCCGTGACCTGTTTATGGTGAGTCATTCCCAGAGATGAATTTGTGCCTTCAGTTCCAAGGCTGAGTAAGTTGTCAGCTTTTGTGACCATTAAAAAGGATTAGTGTCATTTTCAGCCTTAGACATATGGTGGGGAGAGGCATTATTCCATCTTGGCTTGCAGCAATGCCTTCGTGAAAATTGGTCAGTAACCACCTAGCATTTTTTTGACTTGTTGACATTTACCGGAGCCCAAATGATTTTTTTATGTTTTCTAAGAAGAATTTCTGATTCTTGAACACTTCTCATCATGTGCCTTGATATGAGAAGATGACATGTTTCTCTCTAATAAGCTTAAATGTCTTTAATCCATCCCCTGAAGAAGTGCTGCTACAGAAGCGAGGATAGGGCAAAACTTATCTATAAATCTTGAAGATGCTCAATTTGTTCCTTAGACTTTAGTGAGAATAAATTCTGACTGTTCTCATATGCAGAGTGGACCCAAGAAATTATACACGTATGTGCACTGGTGTCCTCTCATGTATTAACTATGGACCTTACCGGTCCTTGGGTTCTGCACTGTGGTCTTCTGTAGGACCGTGGACCCCAGTGCCGCAGTCGGATGAATGAAGGCTGGGTTTCTTTGCTGGTTTCCCAGCACATTGTGCCCATGCTGGATGCCACTGATGTCCGCGAAACAAAAGGCCAAAACAAGAAAAACTTTGGGAAGATCTTGCATCCAAATCTTTTGCCAGCAAAGGCATTTTGTGGGTTAAATCAAGCTTTGCTCTTTTAGATGTTCGATATATAATATCTAAATTCAATTCAACACCATTCAATTGTGTTTCCACTGATCATGAAAAAACAAAACAAAACTAACTTAATTTCTTCCAAAAGTAGGAATTTGTGTTATTTGCCGTCTGTTTTGTTGTCTCGTTGAGCAGACAAGTTAGTATATAAAGGGAAGGTTTTACTATTATAAAAATCTTAGTAGACATCATAGTGTCTCAAATTTAATTTCACCACTTTTTATATTGTTTCCCCGCCCCACTCCCACTGCCCAACCTACTGACTGCCTCTCCTCCAAGCCTCTCTCTCCCACTTTACAAGTAAAACCGACTTTTAAAAACAAGCATGGCTTTCATACCGCTTTCCCTTGACATAAATTTTCAACATTAGAGAAATACAAAAAAAGTTCATTAAAAGTAGAATTGAAAAATAGTGGAATTTTCCCATGAGATTTTTGAAGGCCCCTGAAAGTTCTTCTTTTTGAGTACCTATTGAATACTGCCCTATGTGCTTTAGAGGCTTGTCACATCCCACCACTGTCTAGATTATGGAGAAGGACCCTGGGCTTTATAAAAGTGAATTTCCCAAGTCTACACACTGGGCCTAGTGTTCTACTCCGAAAAATCAATCAGTGAAAATCTTCTGGTCACGGCGGTGTGACCCTGAGGGGTTTTTCCACGAGCTGGGGCTGACTGGCTGCTGGTGGCAACCACACAGAGAGGCCAGTGCCAGGATTTTAAACCCAGAACTCTCCAAGAACACCTTGCTTTTTTGCAAATACACACTGACTCAATCTTGAATGTTTCCTGTGGAAAGCACCTAAGTGGGTTATAAGGAAAGTTATCTCAGTCACAAATAAAGCTAATTGAAGAAATAAATTTTGAGTGAACACTGGAGAGAAAAGCCAAAACAAGTAAACAGGTTCTGTCAGGCAGGCCCCCAGGGTATGTTTGGAACAGAACCACACCTTAGAGATCCACTTACTCAATTCTCTCAGCAGAAGGATGTTTGTAGATAATCATGTTTCAGAACCGAACACCCTTGTTCTTAGAAGCCATCAAGTCTGTTTTAACTCACAGTGACCTCCTGTCGTGTACAAGGGGACAAAATATTTGTCCGTTCTGTGCCAATGTCACAGTCGTTACTCTGTTTGATGAGCCCATTCTGCTGGGATCCGTGAGATTTTCAAAGGCTAATTCCTCCGAAATGGATCACCTCTTCCTTCTTCCCAGCTGTCTTAGTCTGGAAGTTCCGCTCACACCTGCCCACCAGGGTGACCCTGTGCTGTGGGAAATCCTGATGGCAGAGTTTCTAGCATCACAGTTGCATAAACGTTGCCATAGTACGAAAGGTGGCAACGCTGAATAGTGCATGCCCAAGTTACGAATGTGTCCCTTTAAATATATGTGTGTGTGTGTGTATAATTTTTCTAAAAACTGTTGATATCTGCTTTGTCTTTGCAGCTTGCTATGCATTTAAAATAATGAGCTATTATAACAGTAGTGGTGGCATTTTGCAGTATGCTTATACCATGCTGTGTTTGTTAGTCCGAGCGGGCTAGAGAAACATTCATGAAGACACACATGTATATAAGGGAGAGGTTTATATACAAGAAGAATTGAACATTCAGAAAGCATCCCAGTCCAGTCCAAGTCCATAAGTCCAACACCAGCCCATATATCCAACACCAATCCATAAAGTCCTCTTCAGACTCACGAAGCACATGCAATGACGCCGAATGCAGGACGGTCACAGGCCAGTGGGTAGAAAGTCTCTGGATCCAGTGGCATTGTAAGCATCTCAGCACTGGCAGGGGTCTCTACGTGGCTTCTTTGGGTTCAGAGGTCTGGTTGCATCAGGGCAGGTCCATGTGGCTTCTCCAGCTCAGGGCACTAGCATAGTTCCATGTGTCTTGTCAGCTGCAATGTCTCCCAGGGAGTAACAGAGAGAGAGAGGTGTCTCAGGCCTCCAAGGAGGAAGTACTGGATTTCCCAGAATTCTCTGGAGAAGACCATGCCCACACAGGCCTCACTGGCTATGGTCTGATTGACAAGCTAGACTCCACCCCTACACTCTTAATCCTCAAATTGACAAACGATTATGTATCTACCACACATGCACACAGAGAAATAAACAACTCCCAAATGCACCCTTCAGAAAGGTACACCCTCGTGTAACCAACACCCAGGACAAAATATAGAGCAAGCCAGTGCCCCAGAAATCCTTCATGTCCCCTCCCAATAACCAGCCCTCATAGTAAACAACAGTGAGCACTGTTTTAACTTCTAACAACATACAAGTTACGTGACTTTTACCTGGTTTTAACCTTATCACCGTGTCCTTTTGTATCAGGCTTCTTTTAATAATGTGAGATTTATCCGTTTCGTTGTCTGTAGCAATAGTTCATTAACTTTAATGGCCTTATACACAGGTACAGATAAGGCACAGGAATCCAGGTCAGATAAACCTCTCAGAAACAGAAATGGGAGTAGTGATACCAGGAGGGGAAGAAGGGGAACCGATTTCAGTGGTCGACACCACTACCCCAGGGGGACAAACAACAAAAACCACGAGGGAAGAGAGACAGAGATTGGTGTAAGATATGAAAATAATAATTTATGACTTATCAAGGGGTCATAAGGGTGGGAGGGGAAAAGGAGGTAAAAAAAGGAGCTAATAACAAGGGGTCAAATAGAAGTAGATGTTTAGTAGTTAATGATGGCAGCATATTTATAAATATGCTTGATACAATTGATGTATGGATTGTTATAAGAGCAGTAGGAGCACCCAATAAAATGATCTTTAAAAAAAATTAAAACTTTAATGACGATATAGTAGTCCACTGTTTGAATATGTGATCATATATTTTTCCCTTTTCTGTTGATGGACATAGGGTGATTTCTATTTTTACTGTTTTGAATCAGGCTCTTTTGAATATTTTTGTATATGGTGGCACAGTGGGTTGTGCATTTGGGCTGCTAACCACAAGGCCAGCAGTTCAAAACCAACAACCCCTCTGCAGAAAGAAAAGATGAGGTGGTTTGGGGTTTTTTTTTTTTTGGTTTTTTGAGGTTTTCTATTTCTGTAAAGATTTACAGCCCTGGGACAGTTTTACCCCGTTCTATAGGGCTACTATGAGTTTAGATCAGCTGATCATATTGATAGTTCTGAGTATGTCTTTTTATATACATATATGTGCATATAAATATGTATTTCTCCAGGTAGTGATCAAGATGAAAAATGACTGGATAATAGCGTGCTCATGTTTGAATCTAGTAGACACTGGCAAATTGTTTTTCAAAGTAATTACACTAATTTAGTTTTCAAACGGTGCCGGAGAATTTCCATTGCTCATATTCCATAAAATATTAGTACCGCTAGTCTTTTTATTCCTAGCTGTTTTGGTGGGTATGTAATCTTGTCCTTTGGCAGTATTAATTTCCATTTTCCTGATGGCTTTTGAAGTTGAGCACCTTTTTATATTTCCATAGTTGTTTTGTGATTCCTTTTAATAAAGCATGTATTCAACTCTTTTTTATTAGTTTAGACTTAATACATCTAACGTATTCCATATTTCAGCCATGTCAAGCAGAACTGTACAATTGCTACCACAGTTTCCAGCCATTCTTTATCTACGTGGACTCCCTGACATTGTCTCCCATTTACCCCACCTGCACCACTGTGGGCCCCCCACCAAACCCCTTATTCTACTTGCTGTCCCTATATGTTCATCAATCCTGGGTTTCATATACTTAAAAATGGAAAAGCATATGGCACAGCTTCAAGGGGGTGACCTTCATTGCCATAACTCCTTTGAGATACACTCTACTATGAATAAACAAGCCCCCCCCAAAAAAAAAAATCCAGAAAATTTTAGAAACCAGATCAGGTCCAGCATGCATCATAGAGAGAAAGTACTGACAAAGTGTGTGCAGGTCAGATTTATGCCTTTGATCTTCTATACTTCTCTCTCTCAAGCACTCTATTTAGTAACCACTGTCCTCCCATCCCTCAATTTTAGACAGAGTTCTCTAGAGCAGTGGTTCTCAGCCTTTCAAATGCTGTGACCCTTTAATACACTTCCTCATGTTGTGGTGACCCCCCAACCATAAAATTATTTTCGTTGTTACTTCGTCACTGTCATTTTGTTACTGTTACCAATCGGGCAACCCCTGTGAAAGGGTCTTTTGACCCCAAAAGGGGTCACAACCCGCAGGTTGAGAACCGTTCCTCTAGAGGTTTATTCCTATG